CTTATTAAATTAGCAAATTGAAAAAGATTAAATGTATATTTAGAATTAAGAACATGATTAGGTTAATATAATTCGTTCCTATTTGAGGATTTGTTAATTATCGTAATATTTTTCGTCTTTTATAAATTAGCGTTGCTTTTCTAATCGTTTTGTCATAAATAATAAACAGAATAAACATTACAGTTTAAAAACGATATTACGGTGTAATGAAAAAGAAAATATTTTTCAATTGTACGTTTGTTTAAAAATCCTCTCATATCCTTTAAAAACACTGAAAATTTTTTCTCTCTCTCTTAATCTGCCAAATAAACTGGGATACACAGCATTAATCTCACTTTACCGTATCGGAAGCGACTCGGTATATTCTGTGTAAAGTTCTCAGCCGATGTTCTATCCTGTATGCGGTTTTCTCTTGGAGAACTCAGCATTGCTGCAGGAGAAAAGCGACATCCGGTGGATATCACTAACTTAATCTTAAGCCAGTGAATAAACGTTTCCCTTGAATGAACGAACGAACAAATGACTCGTAGGAGATACTAGTTCGGTCAGAAGATTTTAACAAACCGTAGCTTCTCTCTCTCTCTCTCTCTCTCTCTTTCTCTCTCTCTTTCTCTCTCGCTCTCGCTCTCTCCAAATCAACGTTTCCTTTTGGAAAATCACGCCCGATAGTGCGGCTTCCGGCTACCGGATGTCACCAACTATTCTGTCGCGAGTGCCTTTCGCCAAACTATCGCGCAATCTCTCCGGCATTCCTCTGAAAACGCGAGAGAGGAAGAGAAGGAAGGAGGAGAATAAGAAGGAGAGAAATACGTTCTCATCTGTCTCTAAACTTTGGAATGAAGTGGCCAGTAATCGGTTGAACTCATGAATAACTAGAGAAATCGGCCAACAAATCTTCCACGCTGATTGCTTCCCGCAAATTGCGACCGCTCGTTGCTTGCGAAGCAAACAACGATTATATCAAATTAACGATTTCGATTATATCAAATTAACAAATCAATATGAATTTATTCAGAGGTATTACATTTATTAATGCATCGACCAAAAAAAAAAATGAATAACACAAACAAGTGAAAAAGGTTATATTCGATTAAGGTGGATCTTGGTGCCTGATTATATTTTTGCATAAATTTTACAATTTTCAGTTTAAGCGGACTGCAAGGATTATCTCAAAGATGAAATATTTGACGAGAATCTCTTTACTGCAGCTTTAAACATATCGCATCTCTAACTGTTTATTTCAGATATTGGTTGGATCGTGGTAATTTCAAAATGACCCTGAAGTACATGAATCTACTCAAGGGAGCGCCCAGAAGCATCGCCAGTGACTGGATGAACGAGACTAGGATCCTGCTGGAAACGCAGCAGGCAGTCGACACTCTGCTGGCGTACGCAGGTGCGATCGGTCTCGTATATCTCGGCACCGGTGATCCTGCAAAGGTCAGTACGCACTAAGTTACAACCCCTTAAACAAGCAGTGTAATTAGATATGCTCTCTATGGGCCTGCCACATTGAGAAATGCGTGTGGACCAAATGTGTTTCCGGTAATTAATAGCTAGCAACGGGAACTCTCCGATATCGGGCAATGATAACTCGCTTATTAAATAATGTTTTCATATAACACAGATTCTACATAGCTTTCCTGTGTGACGCACTTGCAGATCAGATTAATTATATTTTTTGTTGCCATAAAAATTTATTTATTGCATTGTGTATGATAATTATGAATAAGCAGAATATTTTTTTCAGCTAAACATAATAATTTTTCAGAAACCATTTTATATTACATATTGATTAATTTATTTACTTGATTACTTAATTACAGAAATGACTTTTTCTTACCGGAGCAAGACTAGTCATGTGACATGTTTTATAATTTTTTGGATAAAAAATTAAATACGATCTGTTTTCCAAATTGTATGATAGAATAATTTGGAAATTAGTTTCGTATTCAGTGTTCAAAAATTATGGGAAATGACTTTTCTGTTTTTTTTTTGTTCAAGTTATCAATGTAATACTCTATGTACAAAAGAGCGTTTACAGTAATTGGAAGTGAATCCGTGAGCGTCCCTTGATTTTCCGAATTGTTCCAGCAGAAGTAAAGCGGGAAGAGCGTAGAAAACTGTCCCGAACCACGAGATAGGGGCATCCATAGAAGAACGGAGTGGGGATGACAGAGGGAAATAGGGAGAGACAGCGTTAATCGAAGACAGTAAAGAAAACGAAGGAACGAAGAACATAGAAATATCGCTGCCAGCCTTGTATAGTCACTTTTCTAGCAATTAAAAAAATAGTAATATCGTGTGCCGGAAGAGGCGAATACAGTGAGACGTTTTTCTTTTCCATCTTGACGTTGATCGTAAATACACTTCGTGCGCATTAAGATACCGCCTTAAGACTCGATTTAAATTTTTCAGTAGGACGTAGAAATACACATTTTAAATACCTCGACTAGATTTCGTGCTGTCGAACAAAACGATGATATGAAATTTTTTATTTGATAATATTTTATTTAAATAAACATTTTATTTGATAAATTCATTTCACTTATTGTCGAATTTTCTATCCAGAATAGAGTTCCAGATTTGACAAAAAATAATCCCGCCAAAAGTAACCGTGCACGAAAAAGTCGGTGTATATCAAACATTTATTTTTATTCACCGCTATTTCGTCCAATGGATGAACGAATCGCGACGAAATAAAAAGTTATTGGAGGCAGTGTAAATATTGGAGATAATCTTGTTTTAAGGATGGTGATATAAAAAAAACTGATTAAACGTGTCCTACGATTATTGCAGCACGTTACGCACGGATATTGAAATTATTTACAATCGACGTGCAACCACGTCTTGCACGCATATTGCAATCATTGAAATCACCGTTTTGTCGTACTTATATTTATGACAATTACTTGATATGCTTGTGTTCGAACTTCTCATTCTGATCCATCCATCTATCCTGATTGAATGCCTTTTACTTTCTAACCGGATATTACTACACGCCATACTCTCGTCGCTCGTATTGCATCGATCGTCGCGTGCCGCGTGCCGTTACCTCGTTTTTTGCCTCCCACTCAAAACCTCTTCGTGATTTCAGACGGGGAAACGTGCTAGATATCATTGTTAAAATTCGAAATAAAGTTGTTTTTCGTGACATAATGTGTCCTGTTAATTGATCCAACGAGATATGTAATAATATGTAATAATATTTCATCATTTTGTTTTTTTCAGACGACTAATTATTGCATTCTTAAAAAAGTATATGGAATATTTCAAATATTTCGAAAATCATTGTCTTTATTTCAGAACATTTTAGTTTCTTTTTTAAACATTCTTTGAATATTTCTTCAGTAAAGAAAAGCGATATTCTTTTGAAATAGCGAACATGAATAAGAATAAAAGATAAGTATGAACATTTGATTGTAGAAAATAGAAAACTCATGGAAAGTCTTGAAATAACGATGATATTGTTTGTCAGTCAAACGTTGTTGGCTGCTATTAATTAGTCGTCTGGCATTTGAAATAGGTCATGTACTTATGGTCTGTGGAAATATCTTCTTGGAGTTAGAAACGGATCCGAAGACAATGGACAATTTGCTCTCTACATTATTCAATTTTTCTTGAGTAATAATGTTGAAAGTAAATAATAAATAATATTAAGACTCTTTATTTTAGACCGCATACGTGAGAAAACACAATCAATATTAGAAATTTAAAATGCCTACTACAGTCGAAGTTGGATCTTCATTGCTTTAAATAATTCAATCTTGAATTACTAATATACACTGTATATGTACTTGCATATATACTATATTGTAGTCTTTTCGAATGCGCACCGAATTGATTTTCCGGGTTATAAACGCAATTTAAACTACTCTAGTAATCGCGAATTAAATTGCAGTAATAAATAATAATAAGCAATATAAATAATAAAATTTATTTCTTTTACTTTTTCAATTATCTTACAAATCACGCATTTAGAATTAGAATTAAAAATTCTTATTTATTTGTGATAAAATTAATGTATATATAATTTTTGCCACAGAATATGTTGAAGTATAATGTGATAATTTATTTTAATTAAATTACTAATTTAGATTGAGTATTGGCAACCATTATATTTACAGGTAAGTATGTATTTAATTTTCTTCAACACAATACGTTTAACAATTAGTTATTAACTACCGAGAGGAAATAAACGTTAATTAACAACAGTAATAATATTTCGAATTCTGCGTTGGCAAAACTTCTTGTTGCTCGGAATGCTCAGGATTTCGTGAACCACGAGTCACCGCGTGTTTTCGTTGCGAAGTATCAGCATCTCTGCAGTGTGTTTTGCGCGTTAAATAATTCTGGCGAGAGATCGGTGACCGAATGAGCATGGTTAATTACATTAACTAACGACGCTAATGGTACACTTGGAGGTTCAGGGGTTTCGTTACACAATGTGCCAGAGTGAAACAAGGTGGAAACTGTGATACGGATTAAGTGTGTGTACTGAATACAGAGTAAGCACAAAAAACGTAATCAGTGGAACTAACTTGTATTTAGTATTCATTAGGGATTATTTTTTTAATCTAAATTTAAATTTATATTAAAATAGAAATTTTCATGGAAATTATATATAGTGACTGCAAAAAGTTAACATATAATTTTATTTAGATAATTTCTGTCAATCTGTTTTTTAGTTTATATTGTAAGTTAATAACACTCTTATTATAATCAACTTACCAACATGTTATTTTAAATATTAAAATGTAGTAAGTAGATATTTGTAGATTTTTATTTGTAAAGATTCTTTATTAAAATAATATAATAAAATTATTCGGTCGGAAACATTTGGCACCCACTATATATACAAGAGGAAATGCATGTTAATAAAAAATTACACATATTTCGTCTGTGCATCATATAATAAAAATTGTAAACATCAATTTCCTCTCCCTTGCGAATGCATAAAAATTAGCTTACAAATTGCACGTGATTTGCTCGCGTTGGAGTATTACATTTGCGAATTTATTAGAAAGAAACTTGATATGCCTTTGGGTACTTGTCTATCCCTACGGTATAATAGGGCCACAGCGATGTATTTTCATGTAAAACATCGTTTTACGTTGTTTTGTTGCGACAAATAAAGATCCCGAGGGGTCGGATAAAATACTGCGGCGCGCGTAAAGACGGCGAGGGCAGCGCTAATTGGCGACGTTAATGACACTCACAGTCTGTGCTCTACTTTAATCTAATAACAGGATCCGCCTTGTAAAAGATAATCATTCCGCTTGTCCCTCGGGCAACGCCAATCTGTCGCAACTATGGAAAAAGTTTATACCCACAAAGCGGCGCGGTCGAATGCGGACATTTCACCGCGCGACAAAGCAGCTCAATTAAAGACACTGCGCTGTGCTTTCGCAAGTAAAATTTATTCGACATACAGAATCGTGATTTACATAGATGTGTTGTATGAACTTTATTTAATTTAATAAATTGTCTGTAGATAAAAGTTCTATGATTCGAAATCAATGACATTTGGATGTGAAATAAATTTGCTAGAAGTGAATAGAGAAGATTATTTATTACAACAAATACCTGAATAGCTACGAACATCGCAGAATCTTGTATTTTTTTTACTTTCCTTTTCATTTTGCTTTCTAGAAATTGATTCGAAACAGCGCAACAATATCTGGGCAATATTATTCTCGCTTAATCTCCGATCACAGAGATAAACATTGTACCATCCATGATAAAATCATGATGAAAAGAAACCATGAGTAAAATCATGGTACCGTTGTTGATACGTTAACATCGATTTAAAATCAATTTGCCATCCGCGTGCTTACGATAACGGTGACGTGAATTTAATTCACATCGGATGCTCCCAAGCGACGCGCCAAACCACCTACTGTCGTTGCCAACAATTGCATTGACATTCATAACTGGTCGACGTCGATCCAGTCCGAATTAGGGATTCGCCTGGTGATCCGTGATGCTAGGCTACAACGATTGTTTCGAACCGATATGCTTCGTCACGGCCAGAAAATGTCAAAACGTGCACCGTTATTTCGCATGAAATAACGGTGCACGTTTTGATATTTTCATGTCATGAATGTATACCTCAACATTCATTATACGGCATAAAACAATCTGTTAAAAAAAATGTCTTCTAAGTTGAGCTTTATCTTTTTAGATTTGTTTCTGTTTTTTTTTTAAATATAAAGTGTAACAATGCGTGTATTTTTTTCTTTCAAATGTCACGTCGTTTTTGATCGTAACATTGCAGCATCCGTCTCTAAAACTATTAAACTGAAAGATATTCCCCGTGGCAGCTGATATTCCCGTCGGACATAGGAATGCAACTACGACAAATCGAAATAACAATGGCGCAATTTCACGGAGTCGGCCGTTGTCGAGGCGCGCGTCATATATCGTCATGGAATAATTACTGTAGCGGAAGGACCGACGTCTCTCGCTGTCGAACGGACCGTCTGGAATTCCTGGATCGAACTCACTGAGGCGAAGCGTCCATTCTGCGGATGCCAAGGTGAACATACACCAATGGCAATACTGGGATGAGTAGTTGAGTACATGAACGCACAAACTCGCGCGCGCGCGCGCGCGCGCGCCCTCGTATCCCCTCGACGATTTCTGGAGAGGAAGTGAAGTTACGGCAGGTCGAATACACACGGCACCGGTCTATAAAGTAATAAAGGAGTCGCGATATGCTGCGGAACACGCTGCAGGAAATACACACGCGCCACTGGGGCACAATCCTGGTGTATAATAGCACCGCAACGTGACAGCAAAGGCGTGAAATACACGTGGGAGTGGCCGTGGATAGGATGGGATTACGTAGGTCGGGAATCAGAGATTGAATTATCTTCCAAAGAGTTTGGAGATTTCTGATTGTGATACCGTAAAGAAATTATCGATTTTATATTATTTTTTTGTAATTAATATCATTACACTCTAAAAAATATCGGTATGGATTTAACATTATGCGATACATATTATCTATATATATCTATAATTCTCGTGTTGATGCTTATATTAAGGATATATCAGCAATTATTTTATAAATGTGTTAATATTTATATTTATTAACGAACTATATATGTATATATAAAAGTTCGTAACATTCTGCTTTATTGAACAATACATTTTTATATTTACTTTATTTGTTATTTTTATTGTTATAAACACAAATTTAAAAAATAACAATAAAAATCTAAATTCTTTTTATATGAGTATTTTAAGTATTCAAAATAACTTGTGCAAAGTTTCATTGCAATTCATTGATTAGATACAAAGCTTCAACAGAACAAATATCTTGTTTATTTATTAGACAACTAGTCCATGCATTGTAATTTTACATAAATAATTTTAAATATGTAAGATACTTACATTAAAAAATTGAGATTTTTGTGTTATTTATTTTATAATACATTACCGTCCTGGTGTGGATTTAAAACTCATGATGTTACACATCATGCACATTATGTTAATGTTAATATTAACACCAACATAATTATATAAACACCGTATGATGTTAAATCCACACTGATATTTTTTTGTACCAATAATTGATTAATCTCAAATTGAATGGAAATTAGCTTCGAATATAGCTGTTATTATATGAATTTTAATGTTAAACAGATTCTAAAAGTAACTGTTATCAATATTTTTAGATAAATCGAAAATTTTTAAATAAATCGTGCTATTAATGAAAATTTATTTAAACTTTCGTTTGCAGTTTTTAATCTCTTTGTCTGCAATCTGAGTCTTTTTTCCAATCCAAATTTTTTACTATTTTATGCTTACAAAAAAATATGGAAAAATTTAAAAGTTTACTTTTCCACATCTCTATTATATTACTAAAAATTTTTTGACATTTTAAGAGAAGAAACTGAACTCCGCTCTCCTCTTTATTTCCAAGAAATTTAAGAGTGAAACTTTTTCTATCAGAAAATATCCCAGATTCACTGAAAAAAGAACTACTGTTTAACTTTATTAATATTAAAATGTTTTAACTTTATTAATATTAAAATATTTTGTATTTGTCTTCATTTTTTAAATACTTAAAGATGTTTTATTTTTAAATTTTTTCAATAAACAAAAGACTACGTATTCAGATTAAAAACACTATGTATTTTAAATCCA